CTCTAGCAACAAACAATTGTGAGTATTCTCTGAATTAGATTTGAGGGGCTCTTAGCTGCTTTGGGGTTAACCCAAGTCCAGGTGGGCTTGGGGTGGTGGTGGCTGCTGATCAGAAGCCCCAGAACAGCAATCTTGCCTTGGCTAGCCTGTGGGATTGGTACTGGAGGGAAGAAGGTAATTGGCTCAAGTCAGGGTGCACATTGGTTGTACCCAAGGGCTCACTTTGACCTTCTCCCTTCTTCCAGCCTCCATCTGCTAAATATGGTGGGCGTCATACAGTGACTATGATCCCAGGGGATGGCATCGGCCCGGAGCTCATGTTGCACGTTAAATCAGTATTCAGGTATGGAGGGCCTGGACCTTCCTCCCTTAACTTCTCTCCCAGGGAGGGTTGTTCCCCAAGCCAAGCTGGAAGCCCCCAAGAACTTTGTGCCAAGAAGCACAGGGAACCCAGAAGCCCACCAGCTGTTACTCTACCCAGGTACCCAGTGGGGTGGTAGCAGGAAAGCCTGACTGTAAACCCAGGCCTTGAATCCCAATGTTTCTCATCTTGCTAGGCTGACCTGGGCACAAAGAAAGTGGTACCAGTCCTGTGAAGGTCGAGTATGACCCTCATGTTTGGCATGGGTGGGTCCAGTTCCCTCTTAGCTGGAGCCAGGTCAAGGTGGGAAGCAGCAGGAGAAAGACTGGTTGGTATAGGCTTCAGGAGGGGTGTGGAAGGCCTTAGGCCAGCTTCTTTAGCCAGGCTTTACTGCAGGCATGCATGTGTGCCAGTGGACTTTGAAGAGGTACATGTGAGCTCCAATGCTGATGAGGAGGATATCCGAAATGCCATCATGGCCATCCGCCGGAACCGTGTGGCCCTAAAGGGTGAGTGAGCCCAGGGGCCAGGTTGGGGTGCTATATGTGATTCCTTTTGCCTATATACTGACTTTTGTGGGTTCCCTTGGTTCCAATTTCAGGGATTTTTCTGGTTATTGATGACTCTTGTTCTTGGCATCTGGGTAGAGGCTTCTGTGGGCCTGTTGGTAGCATGGTTCTGTTATTTCAGTGGCCTGTGTGAGCTTGCTCAGTGGCTTCTTCCTACCTCTTCCTTCACTGAGGCATGCCTCTGCTGGGATCTGCTTTGACCCACAGCTTTTCTTCACAAACTAAAGATCAGAGATGTAGTTTGCTCCTCTGCTTGCTGCCCTGGCTCCAAGTGGCATAGTCATGGACATTATACATAAGGACTCTAACAATATTTCCTGGGGTTTGCCTTGGTTGGGTGCACAACCTTAAACTAATCAATCATTCTATGAATTTTAACCCATCCACCGCTCTGTGGGAGGAATATGTTGGCATTGAATGGGCCTTACATGAACCACAGGGTGCCATAAGCACTCTGGGTGAAGTCAGTCTGGGCAGGGAACAACTTGGAAGTGGGGGACAGCTGGTCCTGATGGGCTGTCAAAAAAGGCTTTCCCACTTGGTGTGGTCTAATCACCTTCTAGCAGATACTACCTCACTGGCCTCACTGGGCCTCTTTTTTCCTTCCTCTAGATATCTGGGCCACTCTGGCCCAGACATGCTATGGCCTAGCTAGGGCCTTTTTCAGGCAGCCTCCACCTGCCCCTGAGCTGGGCATGGATAGCACTTCAGTTTGGGACCTGGCAGTAACTTACCAAGGTCATCTTGTTGGTCCCAGTGTGGCTAGCCAATTTATTGTTATTAATGTTATTATCATAAACAAAAATGGTCACTCTGTAAAGATAGCCTGGGTAATAAGTGGCAGGGTGTCCTGGCTAGCTGTTAAGCATATTTATTAATTTATTTAGTAAATATTTATTGAGTGCCTACTATGTGCCAGGTGCTTGTCAAGGTTGTTGAAACTCATCATGAAACTCATCTCTCTCTCTCTCTCTCTCTCTCTCTCTCTCTCTCTCTCACTCTCACTCTCACTCTCACTCTCACTCTCACTCTCACTCTCTCACTCACTCACGCATGTGCATGCAGGCACTCACACACGCATGCAGGCATGCACATATACCCCTTCGAACCTCATGGAGCTTACAATGGCAGTTATAACCTAGAGTTCAAGGAAGTATTTCTTCTCCAGTTGGATCAACCTTTGGTGAACATTCCCTAGGCCAGGTGGGGGGAATATAGCAATGCTGTTGAGCCCAGAGGATCCCTCTCTAGCTTGCCTATCTTGTTTGTTTTTGTCCTGTAGGCAACATTGAAACAAATCATAACCTGCCACCATCTCACAAATCCCGAAACAACATCCTTCGGTGAGAGCCATGTACATAGAGTGGTGGTTCAGTGAAGACGAGGGTGGGCTGTGCTGACATTCATGAACCTGGCTAATTGCTAGTAGGGCCTGGTTTGATTTTCTCCCTGTTACCCTCCCAGCACCAGCCTAGACCTCTATGCCAACGTCATCCACTGCAAGAGCCTGCCAGGAGTGGTGACCCGGCACAAGGACATAGACATCCTCATTGTGCGGGAAAACACAGAGGGAGAGTACAGCAGTCTGGAGCATGAGGTAGGCAAAACTACTTGATCCTCTATGAGTAGGTGGTGATGATTATAGCCAAGGTCAGAGTTGAGAGCTTCAGAAACAAGGAAGAGGTGTCCCCACTCAAGGGGTTGGAAAAGCCAGATATACTCAGTGATAAGGCTGCATCATGTGGTACTCCCATTAAGCCCTTTGTTGTCCCCTGGCCTCTTCTCAGAGCGTAGCAGGAGTGGTGGAGAGCTTGAAGATTATCACCAAGGCCAAGTCCCTTCGAATTGCTGAATATGCTTTCAAGCTGGCCCAGGAGAGTGGGCGTAAGAAAGTGACGGCTGTGCACAAGGCCAACATCATGTATGTCTACTCTATACCTTTCTACCTACTTTGAACAGCTACAAACTAGCTGGAAGGGCCTGCTCAGGTCTATCTGCAGGGTCTAGGGTATCAGGGACCACACTCAGGACTGTATTCTGTTGTCCCCGAGGCTCTGTATCCTCTAGTGAATCCCTAGAGAAGGTGAGATAGATGGGATTATGTTTGTTTTTCCATATGGAAGACAGGTTACAAGTTAGTCCACAGGGTTCCATGGTTCTCTGTACTCTCCAGCTGACTGTAGTGAGAGGCCAAGCTGGTGTCTTTTATCCCCCGTTATCTAGGAAACTGGGTGATGGGCTCTTCCTCCAGTGCTGCAGGGAGGTGGCAGCCCGCTACCCGCAGATCACCTTTGACAGCATGATTGTGGATAACACAACAATGCAGGTAATCAGCCCATCTGGCTCCATAGCCTTCTGCCCACCCTTGGTCTCATAGCTTATACAACTCAGCTCACTTCTTTTCCCACAGCTGGTATCCAGGCCTCAGCAGTTTGATGTCATGGTGATGCCTAATCTCTATGGTAACATTGTCAACAACGTCTGTGCAGGGCTAGTTGGAGGCCCGGGCCTTGTGGCTGGGGCTAACTACGGCCATGTGTATGCAGTATTTGAGACAGTGAGTAGCCAGGCACAACTCTGGCATCTTTTTCTTTCCCTTATAATAGCCTTGTGTCATAGTTAGTATCCCACAGTGGCGTTTACCCATTGGTGCTGCTTAAGACTAAAAGTTTCTAAAGGAAACACAGACCCATGACTGTTATGAATTATTATTATGTGGGGGAACCCTAAGGGTATCCCGTATGTGCAGGGAAACGGTGGCCAGTGATACACAATGCATCCACATGGAGACTTTATTATAATAGAGGGATAAAGAGGCAGAGAGACAGAAAGAGGAAGACAGAGGGGGTAAGGGAGAGGGGGGTTGAGGGGTACACACCTTGTGAGAGTGAAGCGGAAGAGGAGAGAAGAAATGGGTGGAGTTTTTCCTTAAAAAGAGACTTTTGCATTAGGACACAGGGTGGCGCCAAGGGATGGGATCAGAATATTAACAATAAGCATCCCCATTCCCTCTCCAAAGCCCTGATATGCCTTCATTTGCTGTGTCTGGGATATGCCTCTACCAGGTATGGCACACAAGTAGAATCATCTGCCATGCATTCTTACATTTTCCCACCTACCCACTTCTTCCCTTTCCAGGCTACAAGGAACACAGGCAAAAGTATTGCCAATAAGAACATTGCTAACCCCACTGCCACACTGCTAGCAAGTTGCATGATGCTAGACCACCTCAAGTAAGTGGCTTCTTTTTTTTTGTTTTTTTTTTTTTTTGTTTTTTCAAGACAGGGTTTCTCTGTGTGGTTTTGTTGCCTGTCCTGGAGCTCGCTCTGTAACCCAGGCTGGCCTCGAACTCACAAAGATCCGCCTGGCTCTGCCTCCCGAGTGCTGGGATTAAAGGTGTGTGCCACCACCACCCGGCGTAAGTGGCTTCTTAATGCCTGGTCATGAGTCCTCTCGACAGCCTTTAGGTCCTGAGAACCAAAAGCTTGTTCTCTTCATCCTCTAGGCTCCACTCCTATGCCACCTCCATCCGCAAAGCTGTCTTAGCATCTATGGACAATGAAAATGTAAGGCTCCTCTTGTCTCCTCTTTGTCCCACTTCCAGTTTCCTCTCCTCTAGTCCATGTTATACTGGTCTGACCAGTCCTATATGCTTCAGGCAGTGACCAGCACTGGCTGTGGCCTGTAAGGGAAGGGTGGTACTGGCTTCCTGGTGCCAGTTCCTTGCCCTTTCCAACTACAGAAAACAGTAGGTAGCCCTGGACCACCATGGGGTTGTGTGGCAGACTTTGGCCTGATATGTTCAAGCTTCCTGTTTTCCTCCAGATGCATACTCCAGACATTGGAGGCCAAGGTACTACATCTCAAGCCATCCAGGACATCATTCGTCACATCCGCATCATTAACGGCCGGGCTGTGGAAGCTTAACTATCCTTGCAGTTATCTCAGCCTATCCATAGGACCCTCTTCTCACTCTAGCACTCCAGCTAGCACGGTGAACAGGCTCTAGAATAAAGCTACTTCTGCCCCAGAACTTGGCCATGTGCTTCCCTCACGCCAAGACACCAGTGTTTCAGTTCCCACTTTATTAAGAAAGAAACAGGCACTCTTTCCCACTCAGAACCCTCTAGGAGGATCAGAAGTAGACAGGCTGAGATGTGGGCTTTGCCTCAGCATTTCTATCCTGCCATGGGGAGGGGGTGAACACAATAGCACCCAGTAGGGTGGGAGAGCAGTTCCCACAGGGTGGTAGAAGTTGCCTGCTTTGCCTCAAGGCACTGTGAGCTGGGGCAAAGCCAGCACAGCCCCTGCTGTCCACAGCTCCAGCAAGATCTAGGGATTAAGCCAGGGGTGCTGGAGGCAGTCGGCAGCACTGGCCCTCTTCTCAGGGATGTACTCCATCATGGGCAACAGGAAGGCGCTGAACTGTGTGGCTTGCTCCAGGGGCCACTCGTACTTCTCCATGAGCACCTCATATAGGCCCCAATGCTTGAGGTTATGGATGTGGCGCAGCTGTCCTGGAGGGTGGGCAACATTAGGCTGTGTCCCCAGGTAGTCTGGCACCCAGTGTTCTGTCAGAATCAAGGTCCTTGTCCTCCCCTCTGCTCTCCTAGCCCCGTGGCCTAAGCCTACTTGGTCCCTACCCCTGCGGTTGAAGAACTCCCGTGAATAGCGGCCTGAGAGGGCAAAAGCTGGGGGGATATCTCCCAGAAGCTCCACGATATGAGCAATGTGGTCTGTAGGCAGAGAGACGGTTGGGAGTCAGAGTGGGGGCAGCTGGAGATCCTAAAGCCAAGGCCAGGGTTTGCCTCCCTTACCTTCATCACGACTGTAGTCTTCTCCAGAGTGAGGCTCAAACAGGTAGTCACCAGTGGCCAGCTCAAAGGCCTGGAAGAGAAGGGAGAAGTAAGGCTGTAGCAGATGGCTGGCCCTAGGCATGGAGGCAGCTGAACTAGCATACCATGCATGCTGTGCTCCAGATGTCAGCTGGGGGGCCATACTCAGCACCAATCAGCACCTCCACGGCCCTGTACTGCCGAGTCTGAATGTCCTCGGTGAAGTGTTTGTGCTGGAGGAAAAGGGAACCCTGGGAACAGGAGCCTGGGACCAGGCTAACCTGCCCCCACAGCCCATTCCTGCCTCTGGTCCATGCACCTGAGCTCCATGGAGCTCACTTTGATTCTTAAGAGTTCCCCAGATGTTACAGGAGGGACTGTCTAGGTGACCTGAGGGTAACCCCTTCCTAGTGGCTCACGTCCCTTGCCATGGGTATAGGACTCTTCTACTTGAGCAGCAAGAAGTCGCTCTCTGCTGTACTTGAGAAGACTGCTGGCTATGTGAGTCCTAGGCTATGCCAGAGGCCTAGGGTAGGGCTCCCCAAGACCAAGCACCCTGTCATCCCAAAATGTTCAGCATACCACCCAGCAGGCATTGCCCAGGTCTGCAATCTTGATCTTGATCTTGTCTGCATTTTGGGGCTCCAGGGGGTTCACCAGGAGGTTGGAAGCACCAAATGGTGCTAGGGAAAGGAGAGAAGGAAGAGAGACTGATCTGGCCCCGCTCTTCCTGGTCCTGCCTATCCACTGCCCACTGTTCCCCACACTTACTGCTAGGAGACAGGAGACCTCCAGTCTCACGCTGATTAGATGACCCTGAGAGGATGGAGCAGGAAGCCGTGGAGAACAGAGACCCTGAGAAACCTGAGGTCTGTGAGCTGGGACTAAGGCTGCGGTCACCCCCAGGCACAGGGGAAGAAGAGGCTGGAGAGGGGCCAGCCCTGGTGCCCTCTGGGTGGCAGCCTGAAGAAGAGGTGGAGCCGCTGCCCTGCTCTAATCTTGAGCCAGAGTCTGGGGAAAAGGGGCAGAAAGACACATGAGCAGAGGCCTGGATTCCACATGCATGTTAGTGGCCCAGTGGTCTCTGGCCCCTCACCATCAGCCTGTACTGCATCTTCCATGGCCTCCAGCCTCTGCAAGTCCCGCAGCCGTTCCTCCAGCAGCCACTTCTGTTGCTTCCTTTTGCGCCTCATCTTCTTCCTCTTGTTTTTGGACAGCTTACCAGTCTGCCACCAGAGTCAGGGTCACCTCCTTGTTTCCCTGCCCAGCCTTGGACCCCAGAACTAACTCATGGGTGTGAGAAAAATGGTGCTACTACCTTTTGTCTCACCCTTAGTCCCAGCCCTTCATCCATTTCTCTGCCTCTCCTTCTCCTTCTATCCCTCTATTCCCTAAAGCTGTGTGGTTTGGGGAGAACCTGGTGGCCCGCCCAAATTGCTCCTCGTCCACTCCTAGCTTAAATGAAGCGACCTAAAGTAGCCATTTGGGGAAGGCACAGTATCCTTCCATCAAGGTGGTAGTGGGCCCAGTAGTCACCAGAGGCAGTTTGGAGTACATGACCCACTCTGTGTAATCACTCTTTTCTCAGGTACCCAGCTTTTTAGTGGTGCCACTGCAGAAGTTCAAAAGGTGGAACAGATGTGGCCGAGGAGCCAAGCTCTGAGGACATGGCCTAATCTGGCTTGAATGGGAAAAGGAAACAGGGAAAGAGAGGGTGCCACAACTTACCAAGACCTCCTGGGGGGCGGTGCTAACTGGGGTAGGGGTTGGGGAGAAAAAAAGTAGTAATTCAGGCAGGGATTGAGGCCCAGAGTCCTGGTGCCAATCCCCGCACATGCTCTTGGTACCTGTGGAGCGGGATGGGGGCTGGGCCCCTGACTGCTGCCACTCTGTGGCTTCAGCAGCCAGGCGCCTAATATAGGCATCTCCAACACACAGAAGGATGTTCTCAGGCTTGATGTCCGTGTGGATGATCTTGCACTTAGTATGGAGGTAATCCAGACCATGTAGCACCTGGTGAAAGCTACAGCTGAACCCCAGCAGCCACACCTAGCCAAGCTGGGCAGTCTGAGGCAGCACCTACCTGCCTAACAATGCTCTTAACACAGGGCACAGGCAGACCCTGGTAGTTGGACTTGATGATCCATTTGAGGAGCTGGTGGCCCAGGACCTCTAGCACCATGCACACATCTGGACTTGGAGTGAAGGGCAGCCAGCAACACAGCAAAGGCACAGGCTTACCTACCCTCCACCATGGAGGAGCACCTAGGCTCCAGTGGTGCAGAGGTCAAGGAAGCAGGACTTTCCCTGGACCATCACTGTCTCAGTTTATTATTTATAGTGTTTCTGTCACCGGCAAAGATGTGCCAGTTGGGATGATACATTTTGTCATCCTAGTGATGCCTCTCAGACCAGCCTTACTCTTCTGTCCAATTGTTCCAAAAGGCCTCAAAAGCAGCCTTTTATATTTTGGGTGTCACTCAGCAGCATCCACAGATAATCATTGTCCACCTAGCTACCTGTGTTCCCCCTACTCAGAAACACAAATGCCCAAAGGGCATTTTGGTATTGCATCATGGGCTATACCTGTAAGGGCTGAGTCCCATGTACAGACCAGAAATCTGAGGTCCTTTGACTGCCATATTGCTCATCCTTCAAAGGATACGGACTCCATTAACTCCTGAGATCCTGAAGTCATCAATGAGCTGAACAATGGTCTCTCTTTTGGGGTCACTAGGATCACTGTCCCGGACCTGGAACAAAAAGGCAAGGAGCCACAGATGGCTCCAACCTGCTCCTCACCAGCTGCTCAGCTCCCCTGAAGCACTTCTGGCCCCCTTTCCCAGTCCAGCTGAGGCCCACTTAAAGAGAGGCAGCTGCCTCTTTCAGGTCTGTGCCCTCCAGGTCCTCTTACTTGGCAGAGCCAGCTGGAACCTGCCCCCTCTGGGAGCCCCGCCCCACTCTGCAGGGCCCCAGCAGGCCCTGCATCCACATTGCCAGGCCCAAGGCAGTTCAAGAAGCCGGGAACAGTAGGGGAGGTGCCTCACACATTTCAGGAGCTTGATCTCATCCACAGCTGTCTCTGTGTAATGCCCTGCGCTCTTCACTACTTTCAGGGCCACGAAGCGCTTGCGCCTGTAAAATGGAGACCCTCATAGGCTGCCAGCCTTTGCCAGACTCACATGGTCATCATGGTGCCCTCAACCAAACCCACAGGCAGATCCCAGCCACTTACTGAATATCCCAGCAGAGCCAGACTGTAGAGAAGTGGCCCCAGCCTAGCTTGCGCACCACATGGTACCGCCCATTGAACAAATCACCTATCTTCACTGGGTAGTAACCACCTGCAGAAGGAGGCCAATAGATCAGAGTAGGACATCTCTCTCCCCTATCCCTCAAGATAGCCTGGTCCTGCTGATCATCTGTCTCATGAGGGCCCTAGTCTCTGGGCACCTTCTTCCTCCCAGGCTGCCCTGAGCCCCTGCAGTGGTAATCTGGCTGACCACATGGCAGCCAAGGTCAGGCCTTACCCTTGCAATAATCCTTGGGGTCTTCCTGCTCCTCATCATCAGAACCCAGGAGCCCCTGCAGCAACCGAGGTGCTGGTGTGACTGGAGCTAATTCAGAGCCTGAGGACTCAGGCCCACAGGAAGTCTGAGAGCTGTGAGTGAAAAGGGGGGATGCAGGTAGTGAGCTCACAAGGTGCAAAGGACCTCAGTCTCCCCAGCCTGGTCATACCTGCTGCTGCTGCCACCACAGTCCACACCACCACTACCACCAGCACTGGCACTCATCCTGGTGTCGCAGCCCAAAGCTCTGGTGCACTGGACCACTGTTCCTGTGGGGCTCAGCCGTGTCCAGTGCATTTATAGCCTCTGCCGCTGATCTCACCGCCTTTATAAATAGCCTCCCAGCTGCTCAGCTGTGGGCAAGGTATGCAGCATAGGGAGGGGGCAGTGCACCAATGGCAGCCCTGGAGAGCCCAAACCCTAGGCAGTTCCCTTTGTTTCATCCACACTCTAGAGACGGGGCCACCAAGCTGGAATTAATAGTAGTGACTCAGTCCCTAGGTCAATTCCCCACAGTCCAAGACCAGCCAAAGAAAACTTCTACATGGAGATGGAGCAGTCTGTAGCTCCTGCACCCTAGGGCTGTGGGGAAAGGAGGCTCCTATGAAAGAATGTAGTTGACATGGTGATCAGATCCTTAGGCTGAGCTCTCTCCAAATGCTGCATGGCACTTGATACATTCTTGAACTTCCCACTACCATGTGAATATTCTTCTAGAGGTGACCCCTACCAATCCCATCTGAACCTCACTCTTTGATCATTCTCTGCCCTGATTCCAGCTTTTTTTTTTTTTTTTTTTTTTTTTGTAATTCACAGACCTCCCCCATACAGGTGGGAGCCCAGATCACCCCTAAATGTGGCTGAGCAAGGGTCAAGGGCAAGAGTTAAAGGCAATTCATTCTTCCCATCAGAGGCAACAGGCCCCTCAGATCACCACTGACTTGCATAGCCTCCTACCCCTAGCTCCAGAGCTGGCCACCTATGCCTTGATGACTGTCTCCAGCAACATTTGCAGGTACCTGCTGTGGGCCAGCTTTGCCACGTCCACCAGGAAAACAAAAACCCTGCAGTTGCTGACCATAAGCTGGATGGTAACTGAGGGAGTCAGGAAGCATTAAGTTCCCAGAAACATTCAGAGCAACACAGGCACACTGGAGACTGTCATGTGCTGGCATGCTACAAAATTCTAGGACCGGGGAAACAACTGAGAACCTCATCTGGAGTTTATGAGTATCACTGGGGAGTTCCAGCAAAGTGGACAAGTACTTTTGCTCTTTAGAAACTCAACTCTGGGACTTGGGACAGTCTATTCAGTTGGCAAGTGATGCCCAGTATGTATGAAGCCCTGGGACTGATCCCCAGCCCTTCATAAACCAGTTGTGGTGGAATGTGCCTGTAATCTCAGTACTCAGGAGGATCAGAAATTCAAGGTCATCCCCAGATACATAGCAAGTTCAAGGCCAGCCTGGGATGCATGGGACCTTAGCTTTAAAAACAAAAAATGAGTTGGAGAGATGGCTCAGTGGTCAAGAATACTGGCTACTATTGTCCAAATTCAATTCCCAGCACCCACATGATAGCTCACATGTTTGTAACTCCAGCTCCCAGAGGATCTGATACCCTCTTCTGGCCTTCCTGGACATCAGGCACACAAGGGAGGTACAGACATACGTGCAGGCAAAACATCCATATACATACATTAAAAATTTTTTTAAAAAAGAGTGCAAGAGGTAGAGAACCCACTCTAATTGCTTCTACATGAGAAAAGGGGGGCAAAAGTGAAGCTAGGAAGCCAACCAGAAACTTCTGAAGGAAGTAGAAGGGGCTTGGCAGTGGCAGTGCTTATCCCAAGGTAGGAGACACTTTATCCAATGTCCTATGATTAAGAAAAGAAAAGAAAAGAACTGGTGGGGCTGGAGAGATGGCTTAGAGGTTAATAGCATTGGCTGCTGGCTGCTCTTCCAGTGATCCTGGGTTCAATTCCCAGTAACCACATAGTGGCTCACAACCATCTATAGTGAGATCTGGTGCCCTCTTCTGGCATCTAAGCATACATTCAGGCAGAACACTGTATACATAATACATAAATAAATCTTAAAAAAAAAAAAAAAAAAGATAGGGCTAGCATAAATGGAGACGATAGCCTCCCTGCCGGGCTTGAGAGGTCAGGAAATGAGGGACAGAGCAAAGTATGGAAGGATTAATTACTTCTTTCCCCAATGATGGCAGATTACAGCCATTGGACCAAGGGCAAAGGTGAACAGACGAAAGGCTTGTAGAGAAGCCCTGTGCAGAGTCGGTGTGTCTGGGGAGTAAACCCTGGTATTGGGAGAAGTAGCATCCTAGATCTAGAAGGTGAAGATGCAGGTTGTTCCCCCACAACCCTTACTCATGCCTCTCACCTTAGCCCCAGGGAGTACTGAGAGTTCACACTTGGCAGGGAAAAGCAGGGGTGGTGAATTAGGACTTTTTTTTTTTTAAGATGTGTTTCTATTTTATTTCCAGATGTGATTTTCCAGCAAGCAAATAAATACAGTGGGAAAGATGGTAGGGATCATTATAAATTAGAAACAAGCCAGATGGGTGGTGGAAGGCACTCTATATAGTCCTGCTGACCCCTCCTCAGGAACTGCTTGGTCAGGGACATATAGCACTTTGGTCGTGGATCCTGCCTACTGTTCTATAAGCTGGCAGGTCTCAGGTAACCACTGTGGCTCTTGTTCACAAGTCAGTCACTTTGTTCTCCACCAGGGCAGCGATCTGCTGCAGGCGGCAAGCCAGCTGCATCTTCTGGGCCACGGGGTCCTCTTCCAGGGCACTGATAATCTGTCAGGGCAGTAGAGTGTACCTGCCTGAAATCCCACTCCTCTGCCCATCAGACCAGGGCTATCCAGTCCTTTCTCCATCTCAACAAGGGCCTGGGTGATAGAGTAGGGGCTCTCCTGGAGACCTGCCCAGGGAGGCCCTGGTGAAAACCAGGGCTACCTCCCAACCTGGGCCCTTCCAGCACATGATGGCTCCCTTCCTTCATTCCCTTTATCTGGATTGGGCCACCCCCAACCCTATCTTCCCATCAGGGAGGTTCTGTGGGTCATTGTCTTAGCTACACCTCCTCCAAGTGCCTACCCGCTCCCCTCAAGAGTGCTCTGGCCTCACCTGGTCATAATACCTGTGGATGTGGTTGTAAAGTTCTCGAAGAGCCTCCAGACAGTGGGGAGCAGAGGTGTAGTTCTATGAGTAGCATGTGGAGGGCAGTGAGTATCTTATCCCAGACCTCAAGACCCAAAGCCCTCCACTCCTACTCTGCCAGTTACTCTCCCCCTAAATGTGGAGGACTAGGTCCCCTGGGCCATGCCTCACCCCAGAGAGTTCAGCCAGAGCTGAGTTCATCTCCTGATAGCTCGCTGGAGAGCTCTGGTGAATGTCTGCGTAGTACCTGGAGAAGTCAGCAGGGTTAGGAGCCTGTATCTCTGATCCCCAGCCCCAAAGGCTCTGATACCTACTTCTCCACCATCTGCTTGTATCGAGGGATCTCCCGGGCATAGAGCAGTTTGTTCACCGGGGAATCCTGCTCCAGGTAGAGGAGATGAGAAGTGTAAACGGGGGTAGGAGAGCCACCTGTACCACTTCCATGACGCCATCCCTCTCAGCACCCAGGCTCTGTACTGGGTTTCCCCACAAACTTTTCTTCTATTTGCCTCCAGTGGCCTACTTATGCCCTCACCCTGCCCACTTTATGCTCCGAGACCATGCAGGAGTCGATGAAGGTCTGTGCAATGACAGCCAAGATGGCATCCTCGTTGTCTGACACCCGCACATCAAAAATGAGCTGTGGGTTCTTCAAGGCATTCACCCAGAATCGCAGCAGTAGGCTGTAGGTACAGGTCAGGTGTGGAGATGAGGCCTGGCCTACTGTTGTGGCGACCTCCCCTTGTATTTCAGCTCCCCACTCCTCCACATAGATGTCTGTCCTGAAGCTGGGGACCTAGGCAGCAGGGAACTCAGGCTTTGTTTTCCATGAGAAGCTATCCTCATGGCCCAAGTGACCTGAGCTTGGACTCTCCTATTATTAGTCCAGGCTGGGGAGTGAGGGCAGATACTCAGGATGATGCTGTAAAGTCTGAGTTCTTATCTTGGACTTGCTACCCTGTCGTGATGAGGACATGTCCTTTTAAATTCAATAGACCACCAACACAGTGGGAAGGAGAGGGGTCAACAGGAAAGGTACCTGTTTGTCTTCCAAATGTGCAGGGTCTCCGGATCCTCTATGCCATGTTTCTCTGCCAGCTCATCCAGGAAGTCAAATAGGTACTTAACAGCAATAGGCACAGGCCGATTCACGCTAAGAATGGCCTGGAAGGTGTCATCCACAAACTTCTGCAAGGTTCTCTGCAGGCAGGTCATGAGGACCACATGAAGGCAGGGTGTGAAGGGGGCTAATCCCTGCTTCATCAGAACCACACCTCCTCTTCAACTCCATCATAATTCCTTGACAACCCTGTTCCATTGCCTGGCTCCCCTGGCAGCACCAACCTTCATTGAAAGTAAACGGGTGAGATAGATTTCAGGAATGGCCTTGGCTCCTGCCCGTTCTCGTTCTCGTTCCCGGAGGCTGCTGTGCCGCACTTTGGCCCCTTCTGACTCCTCAGTGGCCTTCACCAGGTGCCAGAGCCGAACTCCACCCTCCTCACCATCTTCCAGCATGGGGATGTCTACGAGCACAGAAGCTTGGCCTCAGTTCCATGCTTCTGCCCTCAACATGCAACCTAAGATATATAGGCCACACTTCTCTTGGGGTGGAGTTGAGGAAAGAGCAAGGAGGGAGAAGGTATGGGACGAGGGAGAGGTGGTTCAGGAACTTGCTCATCCTGACATCCCATGCATCCAGAATTTCCACAACTTGATTCAGCCTAGAGATTTGGCTACCCCACTGGCAAGGAGGAGTAGGAAACCCAGATGAGGCAGATAGGATGGCCAGGACTGCTGGCCCAGCCTGGGGTTCTAGTGAATCTAACCCTGGGTCACCCGAACACTGCTGGTGCTCCTGGCAGATGAGCATGTCTAGACCAAGGGACTCACTCTCTCCAGAGGGGCAGCCAGTCTGGCCCAGTCTCTGGGAGACAGTGTCACCATTGTGCAGCTGAGGAATGAGCACCACTGTTGCTCCATCTGGGACCTGCAGATGGGAAATGAAAGCAAAGGGGCTCCCTTCACATGTTAATTCTGGAGGCAGTCCCTGCCCATCAACCTTGTCCTGTTGCTGCCCACTAGCACCTTGTAGTGTTGCAGGGTGTTGAGTCTCTTCCAGTGGTTTTGAGTCACGGAGGTCAAGTCCTCATCTGACAGGGTTAGGTGACCAGCTAGTCCTGAGCGCCACTCTAGAAGGACTCAGAGAAGCCCATAAGCCCACAGCCTGCTTCCTGAGTTCCTTATTAGCAGGAACTGAGCAACTGCAGGTGTGGGAGGAGCAGTGGGTGAGCAAGGAGTAAGGCTGGCTTTCTCACCAAGGTCTAAGGAGTGCACTGAAGGCCTCTGAGAGAAGGGGGTTCCCTTGTAGACTTGATCTAACATCTTCTCCTTGACTTGGGTTATGGTGTCTATGTCAAGCACCCGGGCTGGCATTCGCTGCACCTCGCTGTTCCCTGCTACCCCACAAGACTCAGGTCCCACTAGTGCCATCAAGGTCAAGGGCCGGAACTCCACATCCTCTCGTAGCAGATGGCTATCATTCAGAGTTCGTTTTGCTTTGCCTGTCACAGCGTCCACAGGGCCCTTGTCCACCTGGTACTTGATGGCCCGGAAGAGCATGTACAGTGGCTCACCAGCCACTTCCTACAACCGTTAAGATGTGCCGGACATTGGTCACAGGGCTAGTGGACCCAGTAAAGCCCAGCAGAGGACATGGTGGGTCTGGGAGGGGTAGTTAGCAGCCTACAACAAGGATTAGCAAAAGCCAGCCAGCTAACACAGGCCCCTGGGCTGGGCCCCAAGCCCTTTTTGTCCCTGCTTAACAGTCAGCTGGAGAAGGAGCACAATGCCTTCCCTTATCCAGCACTCTTGTCCTAGGCCTCTCATGGATCCACCAAGCAGAGAACAGGATCTCATGACCTTCATTTGATGACCCACCCTAAGCCTCAGCCAGGGGTCCTGGGGAATTTGGGCAGCAGTTATGGAGACCACAAGCAGGCAGAAGTTTCTAAGTGTTGGGGAGGCATGCTGGAAAGTGCCCTCACCTTTAAGAAGTCATAGAGACAGATGGATAGCCAGTTGGTGAGCAGCTTCTCTACCATGGTCTCTGTCCTGTGTGAAGGAGGCCCCAGGGCCCTGGTGAGGATAATCCTACAATTCTCTCTGACCCCACTCCTAGAGTTCTTGGCTCCTGATCTCAGGGCCAGATCCCACTCAGCATATATTGGGAATGGGTCAGAGATGAGCCCCTGTCCCTGCCCCCACACCCAGGTCAAGGCCAACCTGCGTAACATGAGCTTAGGGTTCCTGTGTACATAATGGGCTGCTAGGTCACCAAGCAGAGTTCTCAAGATGTCGGTCAAGTACTCAAGCTTGCTGTGCAGAGCCAGGGAAAGCAGTGAAGCCACATGGCAGCGGTCCCTCTGGGAAAAGTTTGGCTGCTCCTCCAGAGTGTGGATGAGCTAGGCAGGAAGTTGGTATTCACTCCACAAAGCCCCATACCATCCCTATTCTGTGGCCATGTCCCTACCTGTGTCTGGCCAGTCCCCAGCCCCACCTCCCTACCAGCTGAGACTCCCCTTCCCTGTCTGTCCCCACCATCCATGTGGCTCTCACTGTGAGAAGGAAGAGCTTGCTGTTGAGCAAATTGGAGAGTTGTGTAAGGCCCTGGTGCATAGTGGCACAGCGATCTTCTTCCCCAGGCCCTTCAAGCTCTGGCTGCAGTGGGCAGCCACCATGGCCGGGGAAGAAGGCACGCTCAGCATATGTCCGGTAATCCAGGAAGGGTATCCCACTGGCCTCTAGGTCACTGGTGAGGTCTGTCATCTCAGTCATCAGGTCTGCAGGCCAGGACCCATAAAGATGTGGGTTCAGGCCTGGTGGATTCCCTGTCCTCCCACCTGTACCCTCACACACCTGTGAACTCCTTGCGACACTGGTCGCCCACACCAGTCTCCAGGTTCTCCAGCTGCACCAGCACCTTCTGATAGTCTCTCAGGGCCTGCTTGCTCTTGTGCCTGGAGCCAGAGTTTAGGCATCAGCCACAGGCCCAGACTAGGATGGCCCCTGGCCTGGGGCCTGCCATGGGAAATTTGCCCACATGTGCTGAAGAGGGAGCATCCTCACCTGTACATGAGTGTGAGGAGCAGCACTGCAGCAATCAGCACAGTAGCACCCAGGCCCAGGCCCACCTGGGCCTCCACAGGAAAGGTGGACATCGTGGGCTCTGCTTCATACTGGACAGGGCCCAGAGCCAGGCGCACATTGCCCATCTGCACCTGGGGGAGCAGGGCTCCTGAGCATGGGCCTACAGTATGCTGGCCCTCCACCAGGGGCGCACACTCACCACGAACTGAGGCAGGGTGCCTGAACCATTGGCTGGCTGAGGGGCATGGTGGGGTGGCTCGCAGTACAAATGAGTAAGCGTCAGCGTCTTCACCAGGCACTCTCCATCCCCAATGTGCACCCGCACCTCCTCCTTGCTGATCCCTAAGTTGAGGCCCTCACCCTGGGACACATAGCAGGAGCCTGAGCTTGTGGAATCCCACCCCCATCCTCCTCCGGGTGATGAGTGCCCAAGCAATGGCACACTGGTGGCACACCTACCTCCACATCCAGGACATGACCTGGCTTGAGGCGGTAAGGGTGAGTGAGTCCTTCATGACTAAGTGGGACCAGGCGAGGGTTAGGCTGGTACAGAAATCCCTGGCCCCCACTAGCACTGGCAAAGTCTACTTGCATGTTGTCTAAGGCAAAGAAGACCCTCTTTGGGATGGCCCCATCTGGCACTGCTGGACTGTGGCACAGGAGGAGGCTAGATGAGTTAACAGAGCACAGAGTGGAGCACTGGAGGGGATAGAAATGCAGATCAGTGAGTGGTCTTGGTGATCATCCCTGCCCCCTCACTAAGCATTCCCTGGGGATGACCCTATTCTCTGCTAGTGGTGATAGGGGACTCACCTGTAGCAAGCCACTCTCAAGCTGGATACAACCCTGGGGATCTGCAGCAGGGGCACCGCAGTTCCTCCTTGGGTTCACATCCTGGCCCTGGCCCCCCAAAGCCTTTACCTGGTCCTCATCCTCCAGCCACACAGACAGCAAGGGCTGCCACACGACATCTAGGCCTATACCCCTGACTCGAATCAGTCGTCCACCCCTGTGCCAGGATGGAAGTCAGAGAGTTGAGAGGATCTTGGGTAGCTCAGCCTTAGTACCCTATCTTTCCAGTAGTTCACTGCAGGTTGGCCAAGTACTCACCCCCGAAAACTGACACTAGGCTCTGCTGCCACCAGCTGGGGATTGGCAGTATATCGAAATGGGGTGGTGAGCAGTTTGCGCTCAACATGTCCAAAGACTACAAGGACTACTGCTTCTCCTGGCTCTGCTTGGGGCATGGTGTGGCATATGATGGCTTCAGGACACACAGGCTCCTGGCTGCAGGGGAAGGGATATTCTTACTTTGGGCTCAGCCTTAGACCTGGCCCAGTCCTTCAGGAAGAGACCCACATGCTTCCCTCAGCAGGGGCAGAGGTTGCTAGTACCACTTTGTTTAGAATTTCAAGGAAGCCTTGAATGCACTGCCCCATTGTATAGGATGGTCCTCCATTTGACAGTGGCCAGGCTCATTTTGACAGGTGAGCTGTGTTGGATACTTACATGAGGCAAGGTTGGTCACCTACAAAGGCCCTGATGTTGCCTCCTGTCTGGAGGTACTGCCCATGGATGGTGAGCTGGGTACCCCCTGACTGGGGACCCCACTGAGGACTCAGGCTTAGCAGGACAGGGTCCTGGGGAACAGAGTAGGATGGGGTAGACACAAGGCCCACCCTTAAAGCCCTCTAGCTTTGAGGTAAAGGCCCATTTATTGGTTTATTGAGTCAGGGGCTTCAGTTGACTGCACCCTACTTCTGGAAGTGCCATGCCTTTCTTCTTCCACCTTTTCTGACTAGGCTAGCTCCCCTCCTGTCTGCCCATGCCCTTGCTGTCACCTCCCTTTGGGGGGCACTTTACACCTGGGACCTCCCAAGCTCTAAGCTCTAGGATCCAGTCACCAATTAGAGCAGCAAAACTTGCTCTAATGGTCCTACTTTCACCCTGGGCTTTCCATTCCACAGTGGTCCAACCATGTGCCCAGGGCTCCAGCTAGCATCTAGGAGTATCCCTACTTTCTCCACATCCTCTACTGGGGCTGCAACAAGTTTTGCACGCACGTCACCCTGACTGTCTGCTGTTCTTGCTTCTGCACTGCCTGCCTGCCTCCTGGACAGCTGCCAGTGATAGTGTCCATGTCATCACAGCACTGCCCCTAGCCCGCTCTCCGCTGAGAACATGCACCTTCCTTCTTGGACATAGCAGCAGTAGTTCCTGCTGCCCTTGGATCCAGTTTGACATCTTTACATAGTCCTCCTTCCCAGCATACCCTGCATTAGGACCACCTTGGGGGAGTTACTGACCTGGTAGATGAAGTGCTGGGTTGAGATGCCGGGAGGACGACTCTTAATGGCCACTTGGACAGGCCCAGCAGTGCCATTGGGAGCAGGGGATATCACACACACAATCCTGGTGAATCAAGGTCCAGTAGCTGCTCAAGCCCTGGGGGAGTCTTTCAGGGGCTACCTGGAGCCTGCTCTTCCTCTGCCGCTTGTTTCCCTTTTGTGCTCTGACTCAGGCCCTCACATTTCTTGGCTGCAAGCCTCCCCTCTCTCTGGGTCGCCAATTTCTGAAGGCCTACTCTGGATAGCATCCCTATCCTCCCCAGCCTGCTGAGGTGCCTCACCGGGCAGAGATGCGGTAGAGAGAAGCTTCAGGGTTGCAGGGCTGGCCAGCCACAGTCACAGCGTTTTGCACATCAGTAAAGGCCTGGCCCAGGTTGGAACCCAGGATGGTGATGGCCAAGCCACCTTCTGGGGGACCAGTCAGGGGTTCAATCTGTAGCAGAGAAGGATGGCAGATAGGATCCCCCAAAACCACATCCTACTCTTCAGTGGTGCTGCCCAGTTAGCCAACTACTGGAGAATGTCTGGATCAAACTACTAGAGTCTAGGAGTCTGAGGCAAGGGGCTTGATGTAGGAGAGTATTGGACAGTGGAGGCAGGGCCCTTGGGGAATGGGGAAGCCAGGAACTACAGGGGGGAGAGTCTCACCACATCAATGGTGGGTGTAGGGCATAGCTGTTCCACAGTATCTGGTGGGCACAGTGGCCCATAGCGGCAGGAAGGCTGGCCATCGCCACACCACAGACAGCTTAGGCTTCCATTGGCTGCCTGGCAATGGCTGCAGTCAGGGTGACCCACAGCACAGTCATACAGAGTCACTGGGGAAGGTGGGGCAGCATGTTGAGCCACTGCCCATGAGCCTCATATCCTGCCCCCACCTGCCTTGTCACCTCAGGGCTCACCATGAAGATCATGGGCATTGTCCAGCCGTTGGATCTCACCTCTGGTTACATAGATGGGCACTGGGAGCTCCCTCTGGGACATAGAGGGATGGAACTGTGGGCAGAGGGTAGGGTCAGGCTTGAACCCCACTTGGGACATCTCTCCCTCCTGGTTCCTCCAGAACACTGTCCTTAGAATGGGTGTGATTGTCCTCTGCATCTCTAAGCAGAGGAACAGAGGCTGCAGGCACCCTGCTCCTGATACATGCTGAGCACAGAGTGGGCTTTTGTAAGTAATGGTAAGTAGAAGAGGGACTGGGCAGAGCGTTCTCTCTCTCTCTCTCTCTCTCTCTCTCTCTCTCTCTCTCTGTGTGTGTATGTGTGTCTGTGCGTGTGCG